CAAATTGTTCTACACTGGTTGAATACGTCGAGACAGTTAAAACGATTCGTTCAGAAAAGAATTGATGAGATAAAAAAATTTGACTGCACAGGATGAATGGAGATATTGTCCAACTAAAGAGAATCCAGCAGACTTACTGACTCGAGGACTGACTGCGGAACAGTTTTTATAGAACACACTCTTGTTTAACGGACCCGAATGGCTAACAGATGAGAAAAAAAATGCCCGACATGGAACTCACAAGTAGTACCGTATAATCATCCTTCGTAGAACACGACAACAAGGACAACACACCAACAAAAGAAAGGAACAGTCTAAAGGAAACAGGAATTGATATTATTATGAACATTACTCGGTACACCACCTTATACAAAACGATCCGAGTGACCGCCTTTATTCTGAGATTTATAGACAACTGTAAAATTCAAAAATCACAGAGAAAAACCAACCAGCTGCTTGATACTAGTGAACTACAACAACTTGAAGTCACATACCATCAAAAGATTGTCACTCGTGAAACAGGTAAGATTATTTTTTTATTTGAATGGAACTATTCGTTGCGGTAGGAGGATTCACAACGAACCACTGACAGAGACTGCTAGATTCCCTTATTTATAGACCTATTATTTACCTATAGATCCCCCACTTACTCCATTGGTTGTACTGGATGTACATGAAACATTGAAACATTCTGGAGTACTAGCTACAGTAACTCAGATAAGACAAACATATTGGGATCCATGCATTCGCCAGTACGCGGAGGAGGCTCTACACAAACGTATAACTTCCCGAAAAATTAGCGGGAAACCACACAGAGAAACTGACCCGCCACCATTGCCGAAAATCAGATTGACAGAAGCTGGAGTACGAGCGAATGAAAGAATTCACAAGTTGATACACGGACAATAATTTTTTAAATTCATTGAAATCTAATATTGACAGTTTAAAGTTAATTTCACTTTCTGCCGTAACCATGGACATGTTTTGAGAATTATTTGATTTAAAGTCATTAATTGGTAACTGGAATTTTTTTTTATATAATTGTATTTATTTTCCTTGCGTGCCCGGATAATGTCGCGAAAAAATAGCGCGAACTACGTTCCTCTTTTATTGTACTTTCGTTTGTCGACGTCAGTACGTCGTCTTTGGCGGAAGTCAAAATAAGATGTTATTAAATGGTTGACTTGAACGGCTGTATATTTTATATGTCTTCATCGCCACTACACTGAAGACGTCAAGTCAAAAAAATGTGAGGGATCGAAGAGAAATCAAGCCAAAGATTTTGTAAAATAAATCAATGAACAGAAAGAGATCTCAGCCGCAGAAATCATGAGTCACTGGTGCCGAATGAATGACTGCTAACCAGACACCAACCCTACCAGAAGCACACACCGCTCGGAATTTGCTATATCATTAAGTGCTATGACGACAGGGTGTTAACTAGAGAACCACTTTGTTATACACATTGTACAATGCAGTGGCCAAGATCTCTGTGAATAAACGTGAATAAGATTTTTGAGCGCAGTACCAGAAAGATAAATATAAAACATCCAATGATATATCGAAGGAGAATAAGCAACGGGTCTAGAGTATAAGTGCTAAAGTCCATTTAGAGGTAATGTCTTCCTCTACCTCTGGTACTATGGCCAACAAGGAGAATATCTAAGTTTGGACAATCGGCAATAGTTATTGGACTACTAGTATGTGACACACCAGGTACCCCTCACACTTATGTGACAAGTTCGTACGGGTCTAGTGCATAAGTGCTATTCCATTTTAGAGGCAATATCTACCTTTATCTCTGGTACAATGGGCAACGTGGAGAATATCTTAGATTGGCCAGCCGGCTCGTTAAAGATTCCAAGAACTTTCTTGTTGACCTTAGTCTAAACTTTGGATTTATGGTCAGTCGGGTAATTGGAGATCTCGTACCACTGAGCACATGTTTATATATGTATTTGTAAATGTCTGTGGTCTGAATATTGCAAACGAGACTTAGTATTGTGTGTGAAACAGATCGTGGCTCGCGTTCCGTATTTGGTTTTTAGGTAGTCTTATTCATAATCAGTCATCAGTGTTTTTAGCAGGTCCAAAATCTCCAAACGTAGTTAGATTGGTTTGTCAAATACCAGCTTGGTTCGTGTCCTGTGGATTACAGCCAATAAATCATTAAATATAGTCCGTTTCTTGAATTTGGGGATGATTGCTAGTTATAAAGCTTTCGTGTTGTTACGGATACCAACACGGTTCCGGATATTTTCAATGCTTTTGCAAACACTTTCATCATCCTATTGAATTCTTTTTTAAATGTTGCCATATGTTCGGCTCGGAGTTTCGTTTTCTTGACAATGTAAGGTTTCAACCATGGGCTTTGGTTGAACATGATAACTTTATGTAGATTCCTAAGTTTCAACCCCGTGGCCAGATATCTCTTTAAGTGCACATGATGCATCACATATGTTGTCTTGTTCTGAAGATTAGCTACTGGTTTTTGATTTGACTCCGTTCATTTACAAAGATTGTGGAGCCAGTGGACAATCATTATGTAACCCTTCTTTTGCTATCATATCTCCATCGATTTCCTTAACAGGAAACGTGATGTCACAATCAATTACCTTTTACTTTCTGGGAATACCATTGATTAATCAAGGCAGTCTGTTGCGTGATATATATTCTTTGCGAAAAATTAATCCATCGAACACAAAAAATGGTACATTTATCCAAACCTCAGCCGAGGTATGTAGTTTTTCGACAAAGTTAAAGCCAGTTAAATTTAGTGACCATTCTTCGTGTAAATCTCATACATGTGTTCTTGGAAAATTAAAGTGTGTGTCTAATTTTTCCAGCTTATATTTTGCAATCCGAGTTTTACCGCAGTCCAGTATCATAAGAAAACCCCTTCTACTGCAAGTAACGCAATACACATTTATCATTGAGGCTGGCTAGGTAGTCACGTATTCATGTTTACTGGGTAGTCGTGTCTACTGTAATTCGTTTTATATAGCAAGACCCAAGTTGGAATTCATCCGGATCAAGGGAAAATTTCTCTAAACACTTTCCGTACACTATGATTTGAACTTTCATTTATCTCATATGGTTTATAAAATCTTGGTAGGTTCCTTGATCCGGTACTGTTACATTCGCAGTCATCTTTTTTTATTACAGTATTCTCTTTGCTAGGTTAGGGTCTGCTAACTTTGTGATTAAAAGAGAGGCGAAAGATGCCAAAAGGATATTTTTAAAGGGTAAGCAAATCCTGCTCCACATGTGACACCCGTCGTGTTACTCCTATAAAATATGTTCATTAACTATATCGAAATGAAAAGATCATTTATGAGCTTGTTGAAAGCATGTTCTCGATGGGCAAAAAAAACCCCAAATACCTCGACAGGGTGATTGTTCAATTGAAACATACGACTGAATCTGAGCGATCACGTAAAACCGACGATGACAAAAAAGTGGTTAACCTCATCAAAATCCTTTTTCCCATTCTAGGTACAAACGAAAGTTTGGGAACTAAGGTCTGCTTGAGAAAGAACATCCAGGGTGTAGTATCTCTTAAATTTTTTTGAATAGGTTCAAAATTGGGGTCCGACCCCCTACTCCACCCTAACTTTAAAAGTTAATAAAAAATTTCCTACGGCAATCATTTTTTCCACACTAGGTGCAAATGAAAGTTGGGACCCTTGGGCATGCTTGACTAAAAAATCCAGGTGGGGTAAAGCACGGATTTTTTTTAAAATTGGTCCAAAGTTGGGGTCCGACACCCTACCCTACACTAACTTTCAAAGTTAATAAAAATTTTCCTACGGCAATACTTTTTTCCACACTAGGTGCAAATGAAAGTTGGGACCCTTAGGCATGCTTGACTAAAATTTCCAGGTGGGGTATAGCACGGATTTTTTTTAAAATTGGTCCAAAGTTGGGGTCCGACACCCTACCCTACCCTAACTTTCAAAGTTAATAAAAATGTTCCTACGGCAATACTTTTTTCCACACTAGGTGCAAATGAAAGTTGGGACCCTTAGGCATGCTTGACTAAAATTTACAGGTGGGGTAAAGCACGGATTTTTTAAAAAATTGGTCCAAAATTGGGGTCCGACACCCTACCCTACCCTAACTTTCAAAGTTAATAAAAATGTTCCTACGGCAATACTTTTTTCCACACTAGGTGCAAATGAAAGTTGGGACACTTAGGCATGCTTGACTAAAATTTCCAGGTGGGGTATAGCACGGATTGTTTTTTAAATTGGTCCAAAGTTGGGGTCCGACACCCTACCCTACCCTAACTTTCAAAGTTAATAAAAATGTTCCTACGGCAATACTTTTTTCCACACTAGGTGCAAATGAAAGTTGGGACCCTTAGGCATGCTTGACTAAAATTTCCAGGTGGGGTATAGCAAGGATTTTTTTTTTAAATTGGTAATATAGCTAATTAGTGATGTCTCTGCACACCATACTTTGATTACTTAAAATAATCCCTGTGTATCATCAAAACTAAGCGAAACCCATTGTTATAGAAAGAGAATGATTAGCTAAAACAGATTTGGCTGACATGAAAGTATTAAAGTACGAACGCAACTTTGAATTCTTGTAGCGTAGAAATATTGTTACTTTTTAGGAACTATTTTACAGGATGCCGAGAATATGGAAAGCTATTTCATACAATATCGACCAAATTTTTCTGTTGGAAAAGTCGATACAATGAAACAAGAAAATTTGGCCATATTCAAACAGTTGAAGTTTTAAAGCGTGCAGCACGATGGTGAAAGCACAAAATATTGTTTTTAAAATATTGAAGAGGAAATGAAATTTCAAAATTCATTGAATTATGTTTTCGACTGCTAAATTCACGTTAAAAAAGATATTGTTGTGGTTATATAAAATAAAAACGTTTTAGTAAGTTTGAATCTTATGCAACTTTTGGGTTAATAGACATATCTGAAAACTGGCTGCTAGCGGAGTGGCTGCTAGCGAGTGGCTGCTAGCTTGAGTCTAGCCACTTATAACAGGTGACATTCCTCTTCTTATCTGCATCTAAAACGCAGTAAAAATATATATATTACAGAAAAATCATTTTCATTCCTCATACATTGTATCTGTAAAACATAATCTAAATAATGAAATCTGAAACTCCAATCTTTGTTTCAAGTTGAGTTTTTTCACGAAGACAAACTTTTCCTTATCAACAGAGCCTTGCATACTATGTTTATAGTGTAAAATAAACTGTAGACACAAAGATATGTCTTGCCTTGATGTATAATACATGTATGCAAATATTAATGGCCATATATAATTTAACATGTATAGTATACAAATAATTCAAAGTCAATAAACTATGACTGAGGGGGCAGAGCCAAATTAATCAATGGAAATGAGAAATGCCAATACTAATACAAATGCATCCCAAAACCAATTGACTTATCATATTTAGTGTTTCCTTTTAAACTAACATAAACACAAACTTTAACATGTTAACTATGCAAAGGATTCAAAGTCAATGAACGATGATGATATAATCTCCATGGAAGCATGGGAAATGAGACATGCAAATGCCAATACAACTGCATACTAATTATCATTGGTTAAATTACCAGTTTTTGGTTCATCTTACACTGAATTATCACTTAATCACAAATTTAACATGTTAACTATCTTAATCATAGACCATGACTGAGGGAGCAGGCCCAAAAAATATACCTGGAAATGAGCTGTGCCAATGCTTATTTATAACTGTCTACCAAGTACCATTGACCTTCCACTATTGCTTTCCTTTGAACTGACCTTATCACAAACTAAAACTGTGTTGAAGCTGCGTTGGTTCCACCCCTACCATAAAAAATGTTATGGCTTGGTCTTGCTTTTTTCACTTTGTCAGGGCTATGAGAAAACAAGAGGCTCTCAAGAGCCTGAATCGCTCACCTGTTATTTGTTTGCTTAAATCTTTCATCAATGATTATTTTTGCTTTTCAATATATATTAATGAGTGGCTTAAAAATGCCATTTAAATATTCATTGTATCTGTATTTTCTTCAAAAGCAAATAAATGCATTTTACCAATATGTTCCATTTTAGCCATAGTGTCTATGTCTCTTGACGTACAAGGAAATAAAATACACAATTTATACTAGATTCATTTGAAAAGATTTTTAAAGTTAAAAAATATAAACAACTTGTGGATAATTGTCCTTAAAGGGCAATAACTCCTTAAGGGGTCAATTGACAATTTTGGTCATCAAACTTTTTTGTAGATCTTACTTTGCTGAACATTTTTGCTGTTTACAGTTTATCTTTATCTTCAATAATATTCAAGATAATAACCAAAAACTGCAAAATTTCCTTAAAATAATTAATTCAGGGGCAGCAACCCAAAAATGGGTTGTTCGGTTTGTCTGAAAATCAGGGCTGATAGATCTTGACCTTTTGAACAATTTTACCGCATGTCAGATATGTTCTAAATGCTTTAGTTTCTGAGATATAAGCCAAAAACTGCATTTGACCCCTATGTTGTTCTATTTTTCGCCATAACGGCCATGTTTGTTGATGGATCAAAAATTCGGATACAATTCATAAACTAGATTCCTAAAGGAACATTCATTTAATGTTAAGAAGTATGAGGCACAATAGTTTCAGAGGAGAAGATTTTTAAATGTTAGCAAACTTGATGAACAAATTGTGTAAAATTGTCTTTATAGGGCATAAACTCCTTAAGGGGTCAATTGACAATTTTGGTCGTTTAACTTTTTTGTAGATCTTACTTTGCTGAACATTATTGCTGTTTACAGTTTATATCTATCTATAATAATATTCAAGATAAAAACAAAAAACTGCAAAATTTCCATAAAACTACCAATTGAGTGGCAGCAACCCAACAATGGCTTGTAGGATTCGACTGAAAATTTCAGGGCTGATAGATTTTGACCAATTGAACAATTATACTCCATGTCAGATTTAGTTTTTATACGACCACAAAAAAAATTTTGGGATCGTATAATGGTATGATGTTGTCATCGTCTGCGTCGTCTGCGTCGTCGTCCGAAGACGCAATGGTTTCCGGACAATAACTTTAGTTTAAGTGAATGGATCTCTATCAAATTTTTTTAAGAAAGTTCAATACCATAAAGGGAAGGTTGGGATTGATTTTTGGGATGATGGTCCCAACCGTTAAGGAATTGGAGGCCAAAAACAAGCATTTTTCTAGTTTCAGGATAATAACTTGTGTATATGTATTTCGATTGCTCTGAAATTGTTCCACAATGTTTAATACCAAAAGTAGAAGGTTATGATTCATTTTAGGGTTTATGGGGCCAACAGTTTAGGAATTGAGGGCCAAAAAGGGGCCAAAAACAACAATTTTTGTAGTTTCCGGACAATAACTTGTGTGTAAGGGTATGGATCTCTCTGATATTGTAATATTAGGTTCCATATCACAAAGGGAAGGCTGGGATTGAGTTTGGGGGTAATTGCCTCAAACATGTAGGAATTAGGGGCCAAAAAAGGACCAAAAACATGCATTTTTCTAGTTTCCAAACAATAACTTTTGTTAGATGTGTATGGATCTCTCTGAAATTGTACTACAAAATTTCATACTACAAAGGAAAGGCTGGGATTGAGTTTTGGGGTTGTTGCTCCAAGGGGGGTTTCAAAAAGGGGTGGGGGCGGGGTTTCCCCAATTTTTTCAGGGTATTCATACATTTTTTTCAAAGTTTTTCAAATTTCAAATTTTTGAAAAGTATCAAGAAAAATTTTCAATTGCACAGTAATGCGCAATAGATTTGTAAGATCTTTAACCACATTTGTTTTGTGTCAGAAACCTATATTATGTCAAAAATTTGATCACAATCCAAATTCAGACAGTATCAAGCTTGAATATTGTGTCCAAATTTGCCCCAACTGTTCAGGGTTCGACCTCTGCGGTCGTATCCGGCTGCGCTCAGCGAAGCATTTTATTGAGATATAAGCCAAAAAACTGCATTTGACCCCTATGCTCTATTGTTAGCCATGGCGGCCATGTTTGTCGATGGATCAAAACTTCGGATGCAATTTATAAACTAGATACACTAAGGAACATTTAGTTAAAGTTTGAAGGTATTTGGCCCAGTAGTTTCAGAGGAGAAGATTTTTGTAATAGTTGACGACGACGGGACGCCAAGTGATGGCATAAGCTCACATGAGCTAAAAAAGCATGCCCAAGTCCAACTTTGTTGAGTAGAGAGACAAATGATACATGAAGGTCACGGAGTTTGATTGTGAAGAATGATACATATTGTATGGATTTTACAGAGAATAAATGGGAAGAATTGAGATTAGAAATTAACTAGTTTGATGGGTTCTTGTCCAGTTTTATGTGCATACCCTATAACAGGAACCATATCTTTATAAATGTTGTTCCTTAATATGGAAAATTGGGCATTAAAGAATGAATTTTAAGTTGTTTTTGCTACATTTTAATTCACAACTGTATGTGCACACTGCAGACAATTTAAAGCTTGGAATTTTGTTAACATGATAAGGCCAAATAAAAATATATGTGTGGTTCCAGTTACCCTACCTACCCTACTATTTAGTCTTAATAATAGCCTTCCCTACAGACTTTTTTTGTCATTTTTCACTGAGCACTGTTAAAGTCAGAATGTTGCTCCCATAGACTCAATATGAAAAAACAAGATAAAATTAAAAAAAATCCCTACCTACATGTACCTATCCTATTTTTTTTTAGATGTAACTGGAACCCCACATACTGCATGTATTTTATTTTACCTTATATAAGACACCTGTCAATATATGTCTCTGGAGTAGCTATTAGGGACCCCTGTAATCCCATCAAATATAAGATACATATTATGTACATGCACTATAAACAAACAGACAGACAGACAGACAGACAGACAGACAGACAGACAGACAAACAGACAGATTGCAACAGACAGACAGACAGATTGCAAACCTAAAGTCTGCCCATTCCCTGGATCTGCCTGAACTCTAGTCCGAGATTACTTTAACATACAACGGCTTTTTTTTTTGCCAGTCAAACTGTGGCCGTGGGACAACAGCTGTTATGCCAGACAAACTGAGGCCGTGTGTCTGGTAAAACAGCCGTTGGACGTCAAAATAATCTCGGACTTACTTAAACCCTCCCCCTTTTCTCCGTTTTTTTAAGTTATGTTCATATTTTTAGCACTAATACCTTCGCAAAATATAGTGTACAATATATTTTAACATCTTTCTCTTAATACTGAAAGCTACATTACAATAATATATACCTGAAAATGACCAGTGGCTGAGAGGTGGAAGGTCGATCTGCAATGTCTGCCATGATTGATAGCCATGGTCTGAAGTAAATCCAATGTGCAAATCCTTTTCTGAAGAGCTCCGTTCCGCCTCTGCATTCTAAGTTGATTTGATATTAATTATACTGCACTTTTAGTTTGAGTTTAACATTAAATAATGTACAGCATCAAAGGCCGCTTTATTGCAGATGTTTATTCTTTTGGTTAGAGGCTTCCCGCCTGAAGATTTTTTGTTGAGAATTGATAAAATCTTCAAAATAGTCGGCCCGCCTCAAGCTTTTGGTTTAGAGGATTCCCGCCCGATTATTTTTGATTGGCTAGTAATAATCTTTCGGCCTTGCTTTTGGTTTACAGGATTCCCGCCCGATTTTTTTTTGATTGGCTAGAAATAATCTTTCGGCCTTGTGTAAAAAAAAGCGGGTTTTGTCTTGAAATAATCTGTCGGCCTTGTGTAAAAAAGCGGGGTTTGTGTGATAATAATCTGTCGGCCTTGTGTAAAAAAAAGCGGGTTTTGTGTTGAAATAATCTCTCGGCCTTGTGTAAAAAGGCGGGATTTGTGTAATAATAATCTCGGCCTTGTGTAAAAAAAAACGGGTTTTGTGATGAAATATTCTTTCGGCCTTGTGTAAAAAGGCGGGTTTTGTGTAATAATAATCTGTCGGCCTTGTGAAAAAAATTCTGCGGCCGCCGCAAAAAGAATCGAGAAAAATGAATTTGCGGGCGGTAATAATAATAATTTGCGGGCGGGAATGATAATAATCTGCGGGCGGGATTGATAAAAATCTTCGGGAGGGAATAATGATAATTTGTGGGCGGGAATTTGAAGGCCGCCGAATAATTATTTTTAATGCATTTCTTATGGGAAAAATAAAAAAATAATCCGGAGGTTCACTGCGGCTATCCATAGTAATACAATTATAAAAAGGAAATAATGAACAATTGTAAGCCATTTTATTGAATTGATCGTCTTCAATGTCACTGGCCCAAGAATTAAACTTGAATGGCCAATTTAACCATTTAATATAAAATATTGTTTATAGGACCCTCTTCCTTTGGTTTTTAACACTTTTTTTCAATTTTCCACAATGCATTGCCTTTGGTGCGTATTGGTTGGGTGTTCACATTGGTAGTAGAATCTAGCTATTCCCTCTCTCTTTGATGCGATAAAAAGGTGTCATATTTCTCCAAAACCTTCCTGATATCGTAAATACCTCACCAGTCCATTTTTCGTCATATTCACGTCCTGTAATAGAGTCCGTTCAGGATGGAGGTCGGCAAATATAGATCGCCACAGGAAAATGAGGGTTTATTGGATAGGGACAGACATTTGGCAATCAACGAACCACTCAAAGAGTTGTTGTAAAGGTTGCAGAGAGCATGGCACTCTCTCTACACGACCCATTCTGACTGGACGAGGCTGCGTACTTGTATTTTGCTCAAAATTGATTGTTGCACGTTAACTTTCAAAATTGAAAATAACAAATACGGAACTATCCCTTATTTCAAAAATCGAATATCCCGTTTCCTTTTATTCGCTTTTTAAAATTAGTAGTAATCATAAAGTCGACAATTAATTTCAGCATATTGATCATTTAATTAGAGAATCAAAGTGTATCAAAATCAGGTCTTACTAATTATTTTTTAGACTTTAAGAAACATATTTCTCTTTTTCACCCTGTAGATTAAACAAAATAGGGGTTAAAGATGACAGAGGGACATTCAAACCCATATGTCGAAAATAAACAGACAACGTCATGGCTAAAAAAGAAAAAAAGATCAATAGACAAATAATAGTACACAAAACACAACATAGAAAAATAAATACTGAGCAACACGAACCCCACCAAAAACTGGGGGTGATCTCAGGTGCTTCGGAACGGTAAGCAGATTCTGCTCCACATGTGGCACCCGTCGCGTAGGTCACAAGTTAGCCTCTTGTTTTTTAATTTTTATTATATTTAGTTTTTCAGAAAATATTGTTTTCGTTTTGATTTTGTTTTGGTAAATTTCATTTCGTCTCCTTCCATTCTTATTCCGTTTCGCACTTGTAACAGGTATCAACTTTTAAGTCCTTTCCCCCTTTCCGATATTTTAATCAAAAATAAAAAATTCAAACTTTAAAAAAGCGAAATGATCAAGACTGTACGTTAAGGTTAGCATCTTTAACGTTTGCTTAAATATCTAAACAATTAAATTTTAAAACGAAGTTTATAATTTTTAAATCTTAATTATTAAAATTTAAATAAAAAAAAAAATAACAAATTTGTAATTTTGATATTTTAAAACTTTGATCAAAAATCCAAAAAACTAAAATTTGAAATTTTGAATTGAGAAGTGTTACACGGACCTGGTATCCCTTGCATACATTCAACATGTGGTTTAACAGTCCTTTATATTTCGTCGTAGACTGGCTGCCAACGTCTGTATAGCCATATTATTCTCTGTACAGTGGGTTGAATAAACCGTGAATTCTGAAGGAGTTGTTTAAAAAATATGTTTTCCGCAAGACATAGGCCCACTCACCGTCATCGTAAATTTATGTTTGAACACAAATTGTACTGTATCCCCCTTCCACTGCTGCTGCTGCTGCGGCGGCGGCGGTAGTGTTTTTTCCTTCTGCGACGGAGGCGGCGGCGGTGGTAGTGTTTCTTCCTTCTGCGACGGAGGCGGCGGCGGTGGTAGTGTTTCTTCTTTCTGCGACGGCGGCGGTGGTAGTGTTTCTTCCTTCTGCGGCGGCGGCGGATGGAATTTATCTTCCATCGGCGGCGGCGGATACGCATGAATGCTCTGAGGGTATGGTCGAGTAATTCCATGTTTGTTCCTATAGTGTTGCATCATAACGTCTTTTCTTGGAAATCCTAAGTAACACACGGAGCAGATTTTATCACTCATTGGTTTTCCTTGACGAATACTTGTTAGATAAGAATGTGTTGAAGTATCAATGTATATATTGAATTAAAAGGCAGTTTACAACGCCAAAAGCACAACGTTGGACAAATATGCAATCACTCAATCATATCCGCAGAGCATTCATTCATCGCCGTCTCCATTGCAGACCATAACACTGCCACCGCCGCCAATTCACAATTGTTCTATATATTACTTCTTCTGCGGCGACGGCAGTAATAGGGTCTGCAATGGAGACAGAAGGAAGCCATCATAGAAATGTATCAGTATTAAATCAAAATCTTTACTTCAGTAAAGATCCTACACAGAGAAGAAATTGTCATTACTTGGTTTTATTTAACAATCCAGTAGATAAACAACAGATAATGACGTTAGGCAGACATATGTATTCGGGAAAAGTACCATATACGTTTTAGAAAAATTTGACAAATCAACTAGTGAACCATTTGGATATCTTCTTCTGGATTTAAAAACAACTACAACAGAATCGAATCGACTTCTTTCTAACGTATTACGACAACCATCTACAAAGAACAATTACTTCATTCCTACTTCAAATGTTATTAAAACAGACCACTATTTAGTCTGAAGATGGAAATATAGACGAAAATGAAGGATACAAAACCATATTAAATACAGCTATTGATACGACCAAAGATATTTGGGATAAAAAATATGACATGACGATGCCGTTCAACAATGCAATAGTAAAATAATCCCTCTTGTTCAAATTCGTTTTTTTTAACGTTATATTGATCTGTTAAAACTGATAGTACCCCTGGAGGAAAGTAATGTGCACTCTGATATTGTTCGAAAAATTCAGGACATGAATGAAAGCGATAAAAATTACGGAACTGCAAAATCAGCGTGTTCTCAGGAAAAATCGACACCAATTTAATGAATTATTCGATGAGGATTACTTTGAAATGAATAGTGAAAATGATGATAACGACGACGATGACGAGGATGGTGACGCGGACGAAACTGAGGAAGAGGATGATTAATGTATATAAAATACTATATAATACTTACTCCATTATACCATCATTTATACTTGTATTGCCAACATGTCTGCATGGGAGAAATATCTAAAGGACATTTACTTTAATCCGTCAAATCCGGCTAGTTCCATCTGGATCAGACAAACATAATAATTATGTGAAAAAAAAGAGTGGAAATACAAACTTAGTAAATATAAGATACGAAAATGGTTACAAAATCGGGAACCATACAGTTTACAACGACCATTAAGAAGACCAAGGAATAGAGCAGAAAATATAGTTGCCGGTATAGATAATCAATGGTCTGCCGATCTCATGGATATGATTAAATTTGTAAAATACATCAAAGAATATAGATACGTTTTGGTAGTCATTGATGTATTTTCTAAGTATGTATGGCTACGTAAATTAAAAGATAAAAAGGGCGAATCCGTGGCATCTTCATTCCAAGATATATTCAAGGATGGAAGAGTTCCAAATAAAATTAAAAACCAATTGTTCAGAGAACAATTGAAGGTCTTTCCACCAGTAAGGATCTATTTTGATATGAAAATATTAAAATTTGGTTTTAAATGTCAATTTCAGTGTCAAATGACAGCTTATTGAACGCTGATTCCAAAAATATATGGTTTCTATACAAAAAGATATAAATAAGGGAGATAATTTTTTACTTCCGGTTTAAAAGATGTTATTTCTGGTATTGTTTGATAGTTTACTTGACACTGATTCCAAAAATATATAGTTCTATATACTTTTACATTAATTCAGTACAAAAAATAGCTACTTCCGGTTTACAAAAGGTCACTTCCGGTTGGCTTTTTCAAGGTCACATTGCTTGCAACCTAATGCAAAAAGTCCCATGTCTTTATCATGTATACATATGAGGTAAAAGCAAAGGTCAAAATCTAGAACGTTAAATTTACCTATGACCTTGAGCTCAATTTGAATGTCATCAACCAAGGACCTCAAATCAAAACACTCTAGGCCTCTACTTTATATTGTTAATGAGTTATATTACCATACAACTATTATTAGATATAAAAGGGGGAAAACTCGCATCAAATGTCTACGTACCATTTCAACTAAAATTTACGTGTTACGACATGGCGCAATTAACAATTGTGTGAAAATATTTTGTCGATATCTTATACCAAGGACCTCAAAATCAAAATCAAAAGACCCTAGGCCTCTATCACATATGGTTTTCCAGTTAAAAA